ATTATAAGTAATAGCATGGCTCTGAGGGAGATTAGGGATTAAATGTCCCCGAAGCCGAGGGCAGATAAGTTGAAGTCCCGACGGCCGCAGGCCGGAGGGACTTTTACTTATCTGCCCGAGGCTGAGGGACATTTAATCCCTAATCTCCCGAGGAAGCCATGCTATTACTTTGTAATACCATGATTTCCGAGGAAAAATTGAAGTTGAACTTGAGCGAATTTGAATTCTTGTTTTTTTGTATGCTCCAATGTTTTCAATTCATGCATGAATTGGAATATGACATGAAAAGAAAGGATACGCACTGTTCTAAGAGTATCACTCGCCGAACAACAGTACAAAATGATATTGATAATCCGACCATTGTTACTGATTTCCCACAACGAACTTTGTTTGAAATTGCTTTTCAGTTCTATTCAATGCTGAAGTTAACGAACCTTAACTTCAACCGCGAAAAGTTGTTTTTATATTTGCAAGTATAATGCCAAGAAGCTTATCAACTATTATCAAACATTGAAATTCGTCAAGTGCACATGCTCAGCGGTACGAAGTATATATTCGGAACCAGAGCTACTCGGTCAATTTGTCCCAAAAATCATCCCACATTTCAGTGTGAATGAGACGATAACCAGACCGTTTATTGCAGAGATAAAAAGAAGACAGCTGTAGGGACATTCAGTTGTCCCTGCTGGGAAGCAAAGGTTTCCTTTGCCTTCCGTTCCTCATGAATAACATGAGGGACGATTAGCCTAATCGTCCCTCATGTTATTATGCATGAGGGACGATTACTGGTAATCGTCCCTCATGTTATTATGCATGAGGGACGATTACTGGTAATCGTCCCTCATGCCATTCATGAGGGAGGGATGTTCGCTTGTAAACATCCCTCGGAAGACAAAAGAATCCGAGGTGATCATGGTATTATTTCACTTATTTCATACTTGATTCAGTTTTCTTTGTTATTCATAGTGTTGTATCTCGCTTATTCCCCAGCTTATTGTGTATTCAAGTGCTTTATATCGAAGTTTCAGGGCTATATCTAGATATTGCCCTTGAAAACTAATTACTTATTGCCCTTGAATACCTAATTAACTACTACGTTCAACTTATAAATTTTCCGTCTGAAACTTTAAACTTGAAAGAAAGAAAGAAAAATTCGAATGACACCAAGTAGATTCGAACCCACAACCTTAGCTTTGAAAATCCTATACTTAACAAGTTATGCTAACTGACTAATCGATGTCAGTTGTGGAATAAAAAAGTTATTTAACATTGTTCAGTTACTTGTTACAAAAGGTTGCTCTCATGGGACTAACGAGAAAAATGGTTATGCAAATTATTACCGCTGGGAATTGTCAATACAGTAGATTTCGTAACCTTTCTTATCGAGGTTTTGGTTTTTAATTCATATGAAAACGGCTTCTTTGCCTATTTAAAAATGAAAGTATTAATGCAGTGCTTGGAAAACTTCTTCAAGTATGAAATAAGCCAGATAAATACCTCGAACGTCGGCAATAAGCCTATAAAGCCCTCGGGGCCTACGGCCCCTCGTGCTTTATATGGCTTATTGCCTCCGTTCTCGGTATTTATCTCTTACTTA